AATCACTTGTTTTCTGTAGGGGTATAATCTGGGCTAGGGGGGTATACTATGGCCTAGTTCAGAATATACCCCGGGGTATAAACTAGGCTAGCCCAGATTATACCTGGGGTATAGTCTGGGCTAGCCCAGTTTAACCCCGGGTATAGTCTGGGACAGGGGTATACTCTGGCCTGTTACACCGGTATAATTTCTCTCCAAGAAAGACTTTGATATAAAGCGTAGAATTGGGTGGAATCCCTTGTACGACATCTGACAATTCAAGCACCAACGGTAAACTCGTATTTTGGCTATCCGGTCGACTTGCTAGCAAAAGACCTGCTTTTCTTGGGATGAGAACACTCCTTCTTTGCGAGGGGGCGTAAGCCGCGATGAGAATCCCCTTATTGAGGACTTTCGTTAAATAATGATCCTTCGACCCCGAAAACACGTAGGGAGAAACGAGGGTGAAATCGAGTAGCCAGTCGATTTTGGGGGAGATCAACGTCCATTGGTTATCATCGGTAAGGATGAACTGGTACAACGTGTTTTTTAAGAGACCTCTGGTCTCAACATTGTCTAAATTTCCCAAATTGCCATCGAATGCCGGGACCATCACCCATTTGTTATTGTTGTTGCAGACTAGATTGAACTGCATGTTTTTTAAGAGACCTCCGGTCTCGACATCGTCTAAATCTCCTAGGTTTCCACCACCACCACCCCTGCTCACATCTGTTCGCCTGTAAGTGTTGTTTCTTAATTCTAAGGCGTATAACTTGCCTTCAACACCGGGTTAATCGAATCCTCATGTGTCCCCGAGAACGGAGATCGCGATGGTAGGACATTTTCTCGGGCACTGCATTCCAGGACCAGAGGCATTCATGATTTGATGTGCAGCGTCACGCTTAGATATTCATATACACCGGTTTATATTTTATATCTAAAATGGATATTTTGAGTTCCGTGATCATGCCATGCGATAACTTTTTGTACTGTAAGAACGGGAATGATTCGGTTCGACCGTCTTTGCACTTTTCCGTTTCCACCGCCACAGCTCTCAGCAGAGTAGAAGGGCGTTGGCCTTGAATATTATCAGTCGTGCTTACCCCTTTGAGATGAACGAACAGCTCATGATAGACAACGAGGCTCGGTAATCTCGAACCTGCTATGGTGTCTCGGAGTCGTATTTCGTTCGATGACAACCCGAGAGTTCTCGACAAGGCTTTACCGAGTCTAATGGGTTTTTTCTCCAGCCGTTAACGTCAGCGTTCCATTCGACTCGTATGAGATTGGTTCCAATGGGTTTGAAAATTTCATCGTGCAGCATACAAACGCTGTAATAACCGTCGGACAAATCGTGGCAATTTCAATCGATGAATAGCCTGTTGTTCCCTTTATACTGATTGATATTCGACCATCACGGGTAATACGTGATATTGCCGAGAGCAACTTCAAGTTCCCCCGACGTGTTATCGATTGCGTGAAGCAGTTGAATGGACTCACCATTCACGATTCTTGGGAGCGTGACGAACATGTTACATATCTACCAGACACTACAATATACATTCAACATGAGTGACGTGCTAACGAAAATGGAAATCGTGGTGGATGGGGATGGAACGAGTTGTAAAACAAATTTTATCGATATTTTCGAAAACTATATCTATATCGTGACCGTCATTAACGCTCAGGTGGTGGGAAACTGGAATAGTAACCCAATCAGTTTTGGCTAAACCAACTCAATTTCGCCTTATGGCGTGTGACGACGGGATCAGGTTGCTTGCCTGTCTTTTCAGATCAGTTTGGATTCCAATAATGAAACATCGGTCGAGCCATCGTGAAAAAAACGACGATCAAAATAAGCGGGAACGAGATCCTTAGCATCAACGACAGCGATGTGTTTTTCAGTTACATGGATCTCTGGAGAACCGCAAGTGAACGGGAAAACATGAAATACCAAGGTATTTGTCCAACTGATTGTCTGTCGACTCGGTTGCGCGTGGGGTATATGTTTCAACAAGCCGATCTCGCTGCTACACCAAGGAGACATAAGGCTATAGCCGAGGCATTCGGGAACCGATTTTGCATTCCACTCGACTTCGAACTACTGGAGGGTCACATGCCGTTTGACCAAGCCGCGCTGAGTGATAAGCTGGAACTCACGTTTAACGATTATGGTCACATTGTTGTTACAAATAGCGGGGGCAGCTATACTATCGACAATATTTCGTTGGAGTTCGACAAGATCACAAATCCAGAATTGGCTTGACAAATTTCGCAACCAGCATTCGGGAATGTTAGCCATCTTGTGCGATCACGTGCTGCATCATCGGAAGATCGTCACGAATAAAAGCGATACGTTGTGGAATATCAATCTGAACATGCCCGCTCGATAGATGAAGGGTATTTTCATCATTCCGGTGGAAGATTTTACACCGTTTGAAAGAGTCAACGAAAAATATTGGAACCCCGAGATTATCAAAGTGGAAGTGACCGTTGAGGGCGTGCCCAACCAACTCTTAGCCAAGGCATGTGAGCTTACTAGCAGTGGGATGAGATCCAAAAATTACCGGCGAACAAGCGCCCACCAGAAATCAACGCGATCGCCAAGGATCTCGTTCTCGCCTCCGTGACGCTAGGACCACCAAGTACGCGTTGTGGTTGGACATGCGATCCATGGACGACGATCCGCTTCACGGGAGCGGGTGTTGCATCGACAACGGAAGCAAACAGATCACGATCCAAATCACTAAGAAGGCTCAAACCTCCCGTAAATTAAACCTATATTTGTACGTGATTATGGATGCGCAGTTTAATATACAACATGGAAGATTCATGCAAGTCATCTATTAAGTTCGATATTGAGCTGCCCCTGGAGCCCCATTGCGCCATCGTGTGCGGTCAGACGGGTTGTGGGAAGACCGTTTTTGCATTGGATATGCTGGAAGGGTATTATCGGGATGTGTTCGATCATATCGTGATTCTTTGCCCTACTATACGCGTCAATAAAACGTACACGGAGAGAGCGTGCGTGATGAACGACGTGGAGGTGCATAAAATCGATCCGGGAGTAAGTTTTACAGGACTGGTTGCGAGCCTTTCACGAGAAGTTCGAGGGAGAATCGACGCTGTTTATCCTAGACGATTGTAGCGCGAATAAAGAGATCACCAAAAAGAGAGATATGTTATCGTATTTAGTGTTTTTTGGATGTCATATGAAACACAGCGTTTAGGTCCTCACGCAAAAATTCAACACGGTCCTGAAAGACCTCAGGGAACAGACGCGATGGGTCGCCTTATTTCACTGCAAGGATAGGGATTCGTTCGAGGAATGCTTAAGAGAAAATGACGTGAGTCCCACCAAACCAGAGCGAGAACTCGTGAGAACATTGTTAGCTGAAACGAAACATGCCAAACTCGTGCTGAAAACAGACCAACCCGTGGATTGGGGTGTGTTAGCTAAGCAACACTTAGCAAAATTCAAGCAAAATCAAGCAACCTGCTTAGCAAATTGAATGTATAACCTTTATATACAAGAGTCATCAGAAGATGACATTTCCCCCCGGCCCCCACATCTTTGAAAGAACAAATCATCTCACAGTTACTTAAAGTCCAGCTTGATTTTAGACTAAGTGCAAATCGTTCCATGGAAATCATGAAAAAAATAAATGACAAAAATCTGCAAACAGCAAAAGGCACCACTTCAGGATCTGCCTCACATATCTGCCAAGTTATACTAAAAGATATTAAGAAGTTTTTGAGTTGTGCTCCGGTAAAGAAACCTACACTGCCCTTTTGAGACTAAGTCTGAATCGTTTCCATGGAAACCGAGAAAAATAAAAATGACAAAAATCTGCAAATAGCAAAAGGCACCACTCTGGGATCTGCCAAGTTTTGCTGAAAAATATATAAGAAGTTTTCGAGTTGTGCTCCGGAAACGAAGCCCAACCCTCACTTTTGGGACTAAGTCCAAATCGTTTCCATGAAAACCGAGAAAGATATAAATGCCAAATATCTGCAAATAGCAAAAGGCACCACTTAAGGTTCTGTTTGATATATCTACCAAGTTTTGTTGAAAAATATTGAACGGTTCTTGAGTTATACTCCGGAAATGAAGCCCACCCCTCACTTTTGGGACTAAGTCTGAATCGTTTCCATGGAAACCAGGTGTGTGTGTGTGTGTGTGTGTGTGGTAATAAAAATGCCAAAATCTGCAAATACCAAAAGGCACCACTTTAGCTATGTTTGATATATCTACCAAGTCTTGAAGAAAAATACTGAACGGTTTTCGAGTTGTGCTCCGGAAATGAAGGTCACCCCTCCTTTTGAGAAGTTCAAATCGTTTCCATGGAAACCAAGAAAAATGAAAATGCCAAAAGTCTGTAAATAATAAAAGGCACTGTTTGATATATCTACCAATTTTTGCTGATAAATATTTAACCAAACCTGCAGAGGTTTTCAATTCTTTGAAGAGAGTCGTCCTTGGGGTACATATTATGCATTTTCCGGCTGAAAAATGTCCTGTGACAGTTGTATCAATGTTTTTTGAATAAAAAGATTGTACAATAAATAAACTCTTTTATTTATTATACGGACCCTACCTCACGGAGTTACCTCCCTTAGCGCATGCGCACCAACTGGGTAGGCTCCTAGACCCGTATCATCATTCCTTCTGCTGAATTCTCATCAGTGAACAGAATTGCGGGGAGGTGGGAGGCCCTACCCAAGGGCGACTCTCTTCAAAGAATTGAAAACCTCTGCAGGTTTGGTTAATTCTTTCAGAGAGATCGTCCTTGGGGTACAGATTATGCATAAACACAGACTCCCAAAGACCGGAGGCCAGGGAGGAGGAATTCTGTCCAAGCACACTCAAAATATAGCGATCGTATCATGGAAAAAAAAATTGAACAGATGCCATAACACTCACCTGTCACTTTCGACCCAGTTTAAGCTTCCTTGAGAGGCATTATGGGAGGAGAACTGACAGGGAGGATTTGTGCTCAAAGGCGACCTCTAGCATAATGAGACATTGCGTTAGTCGCGAATATCAACGAAATCCGACCCACTAAGTGGCTTCTTTCATGAGAGCACCGTGGGGAAAACAAAAATACCACTCACTAGCGATACAGTAACTCCGTGAAGAATCGAAAGGGGGTACAGGTTCTCTGAGTGAGCTCACATTAGCAGACATGTCAATAATGGAATCTTATTGTACAGTAGCGTCAAAACAAACCAATAAACCAAGACTCACTTTCGGTCAGGGTGGCAGGACACTGTCCACTGGAGAGAACAATCGACCAAAGTTTGCGCGATTACGGGAATGCGTGTCGAGCTGATAATGGCGATATAAGCGTGCTTGGCGGCTCCAAATAGCGGCGGAGCAGATCTCTTCAATGGGGAGTGCCGATGCAAAAGCTTTTGATGCGGCTACTGCCCTGACCGAGTGAGCCTTCAACCCCCTCAGGGGAGGCTTGCCCTTAGCCTGATAAGCGGCACAAATACGATACTAGCCAGCGAGACAAAGTCTGCTTGCTTGCTGGCAGACCAGCCTTCCGCCACCGTAACAACAGAACAGCTGGGTACCCGATGCGGATCCCCTGCGTTAGTTTGAGATAGACTTTGGCGTCTTACGGACATCCAGCGGGTGAGTGCTCGTAGGAGTGGTCCCCGATGTGGAAGGCTGGGTAAGAGTAGGAAGTTCGATAGGAGCTGTCACATGGAAAGCGTGATCGACCTTCGGTAAAGTATCTGGGAGGCCGAATACTGACCGCGATCCGTGTGAAACACAGTCAGCGCCCGGTCGGACGACATAGCATGTAAATCGCCGACCCTTGACCAGATGTTACGCCACCAGAAAAACAGCTTTCCAGGTCAACAACTGAATGGAAATAGCCGATAGGTGTGAGAAAGTGGGACGGACAGCCAATCGAGCACGCGATCGACAAATCCCAAAGGTGGACTGGTTAAGCCTGAGAGCAGGTCGAATCCGTTCAGCGCCAGCGAAGCGCTATGCGAGAGGGTGCTGCCCCAGAAGAGCACCATCGACAGGGGTGTGAAAAGTGGAAATAGCGGTGGAGTAGCCGCGCGAATGGTCGGCCGCCAGGCCTTCTTCCAAAGCGAGCTTGCAAAACTCAATACTGGGACTAAATCCGCAGAAAAGGGATCTGCAATCCCCTTATCTGAACACCAGCGGCATAAGCGGGACCACCTATCCTCGTACTGAGCGTTTGTCCGAATCCGCCTCGAAGCCAGAATTGTGTCTGCAACTGCTGCAGGAATTCCAGCGTGCCTCGAGGTTAGACCTGACAGAGGCCAAGCCACCCACTGAATCCGTGGATTTGGGTGGAAGCTCCGTTCTGAGTGAGAATGTCGATTCGCCAAAGGTAATAGAACAGGAGGCTGAGCCAGAAACCTGAAATTACGGAAACCAGCTCTGTGACGGCCAAAGCGGTGCCAGTAGCACAAGTAGCCGAGCTGGCTGGGTGGACAGCTGTGAAAGGACACGGGAATGAGTGGTAATGGCGGGAGCGCCCAGAGCACTTTGCCCGTCCAATCCAGCAGGAAGGCGTCGGCAGCCAACGCCCTGGGTCCGGTATCCGAGAGCAGAACACGGGTGTCTGATGCGTCCCGCCCGGGCGCAAACAGATCCACCTCGAGCGACCCGTACAACTGGGAGATTACTGTGAATATCTGCCTGTCGAGCATCCACTCGTGCGGGGCCAGGATCCGGCGAGAAGGCGCATCTGCTCGCCGCGTTCTCCAGCCCGGGAGATAAACAGGGAGTACCTGACAATCGTACTGGTGGCTCCAGAGGAGAAAGTCCCACGCTTCCCGGAGGAGCGCTGGGGACACCGTGCCTCCCTGCTTCAGGATATGCGACATGGCCGTCTGGTTGTCTAACTGAAGGCGGACTACCTGGCCACCGGACATGCTCTCTGAAGCTCGAATACCAACCGCACAGCTCTCAGTTCCAACACGTTGATGTGAAGGTGAGCTTCGGCTTCGGACCAGAGTCCGGAAGCCGACAGACTGCCAAACGCCCCCAGCCCGTGAGGGCGCATCTGTCTGAACTGTGAGAGCTGGCGTCCGGGATTTCCAAGGGAACCCCTGGTGAGATTCCGACATTTGTCCACCACTGAAGGTGAGGTGTCAACCACTTTCGGGGACTGTGAGACTGCGCTCCAGATCCTCCGTGTGAGTCCACAGCCGAGCCAAAGCTTGCTGTATGGGGCGCATCCTCAACCAGCGCCCGCCACACTACAGAGATCGTCGCCGCCATATGGCCCAGTAGACGGAGCCAAGTCCGTGCTGGTGCCTGGGGCTGGGAGAGGAATGAAGAGACCATCTCCCGAACTCTGGTGACCCGGTCGGGCGACAAGGAAACGAGATCCTTGTTCGTTTGGAATCGCTCCAAGAAAAACCAAGTCCTGGGTGGGTACCAGGTCGGATTTCTTGAGGTTGATGATCCACCCCAGTCGAGTTAGAATGTCTATCACTGTGTGAGTAGCATCTTGACTTCGCTGGCTGTTTAGTGCTCCGAGCAACCAGTCGTCTAGGTAAGGGTAACAACGCCTTCCTTTGCGAAGCGAGCTAGGGTAGCTGGGACTAACATGAGCTTGGTGAACACCCTTGGGGCAGTCGATATGCAGGGGAGCACCCTGAATTGGTAATACATCCCGTCGTAAGAGAAGAACCGAAGGTACTGCTTGAGCGATGGATGTATGGGTACATGCTGAATCGCATCCTTTAGGTCGATTGGCGTGAGCCAATCGCCGGGCTGAACAGATGAGATCACCGAGCGCAGTGTCTCCATCTTGAAGGATGGTACTTCGAGCATGCGATTCAACCCCTTGAGGTTGAGAATCGGACGGAACCCGCCGTCTTTCTTCGGGACGAGGAAGTATGTGGAATAAAATCCCGCCTGTTCCTCTCCCGGTGGAATGCGCTCGATTGCGGACTTGTCCAGCAGAGCCTGAACTTCGTCGCGCAATATGTCCGCCCTGGCTTGACATGACGGCACCGGAGTGCGACGTATGCCGGTGAAGTCGGGCGGACCTCGCTTCCACAGTGGGAGATGGCCTATGCTGACCGTGGCCAGCACCCAAGCGTTGTTGGTAGCCTTCTCCCATTCCGGCAGGAATAGAGAGAGGCGGCCTCCCACTGGGATATGGGGTAGGAGCGCGTGTGTAGACCCGGTAGCGGAGCTGACTGACTGGGCGTGACACACGGCTTGAGCGGCAGCCTGATGGGTTAACGGGAGGTCGGGCAGACCTCCCCACGCGCCCTGAGCTGGGAGCTAGTCGAGGACTGCTCCTTGCCCCTACCCTTGGCGGACCTGTTCCTCCGCCTACCCCTACCAAGCGGCGGGCCAGCCGGCAGACTTCGGGTGTAGGCTGCACCCCGGCGGAGGAAGGTGGCACGGGGGCGCTGGGGCGAGACACCCGCTGGTGCTCCAACAAGGCCTTAGAGTCCTTGAAGGAGGTAGCTGCAGCGCAGCCTCCCGTATGACCTGCTGGGCCCCTGGAAAGAGGGTCGGCTCCCAGACGGAAAGGGAGGGCCAGCAAGGTCTGCTGTGTTGCTGCCGAGTACCTAGACGTCGACAGCCACAGCCGGGCGCATCCCCATGACTGGCGCATTATCACCGTCGACGCAGCAGACCGCAAAAGAGTCGCGAGCAGGTGAGCCTGCATTCGAAAAGCTGACGGAGCAGCAGAGACATGCGGCGACACGCCGCCAGCATGCCCCTCCGCCTCCAGGGCCGACCTCTGAACCGAGGAGAGGTAGGCCTCATGGACCACCACCGCACCTGCTGCATCGCGTTCCGGTAGACCTCCTCGTAGGTCCAGTGCGGCGTGCCGCAGGGGATGCCAGCGAGGGCAAAGGTGGAGTTAGGCGCCTTGCCGAAAGCAGCCGGAGCTGCTCGAGGAGGAAGCCGAGCCTCCCCAGGGCGACGGAAGTGAAAACACATTAGTCAACAATTGGTACAACGAACAGGGAATCCTCCCCAAGCTGGTAGCGCCCGCGCATACGAGTTCAGGTAAGTCAAACCTTACTCGGGCACCAGACAAGAGGGGATCGACCACGTCCGAGACCAGCGATGGCAGAATGCGGAGCTGCGCTCTGTGAGGGTTGCCTAGGGGCAAACGCCGCGCCAGGCAAGCGGAACTCAGTTGAGTCCACGCAACCAGCAGGCACCGCTGCCTGGGGTAGGCCCTCGGCAATTCTCTGCCGGACCTCCCGCCTAGCGTCGAAGCAAAAGCGGAAGCCGCCGTCATGCTCCTCGACCTCCCCAAGCTCCATTGCCTCGGCGTCCAAGCCCGAGTCAGAGGCTGGGTCTCCTCCGTAAAGAGGACCCTAACCCGACCCGGTGGACTGCCTAACGCTTAGGAACCACAGGAAGGGAAGAACAGACAGACTGCTCCACGTCAGCGCCAGCCGGGCGTCGTGGACCCGGTCCCGAGGCGCTGGAGGCAGGCCAGGCAGAACTGGTGCCTCCGCTCTCATGGGGCGGTGTGCGCAAGGGCCGAATACCAGGAATACTCAACGGCCCTCGCGCAAAGCTCGAGGGGACTGGGAGCACCTCCCTCTCCGGAGCAGCCGAAGGCGTCCCGGATCCGAAGCCAGAGGCAGCGGATCTACAGACGCCCTCAAGGCCGAGGGATCGAGCCGAGCCCGGCGATCCACCCCCTCGACTCTCCGCCCCGTCCGAGGAGTGGGTGAGGAACTCCTGCGGAGACCTCCAACCGACTCACGAACGAAGGACTTCATCGAGTCCATCTGCTGCTGAAACATAGACTCCATCAGTGACATGTCAAAACCACTTTCGAAGTGGCAGGAGAGGGGAAGGGCCACGGATTTTTTTCCTTTTTTGACACACGCTTTGGACTTAGACGGGGAACCTGCGTCAGGTCCCCTCCCGCCTCGCGCATTTCAGCGATAGAACAAGGTGTCGGCAGCCCGCCTCTTCTGGGCCGGGGAAAAGGCCAGACAAATAGGGCAGGAGTCAGCCTCATGGCCTGTCTTCTCCAGACAGGCCACGCGCAACTGGTATGACTGTCGGCCCGGGGATACTCCCCCTCACAGACCGAACAGCATGAAAAGGCCTGAAACAAACACGCAAACATGTGAGTTAACGGCCCAGCAGCATATAAACACGTAGAAAACATTGAAAAACTTCGTGAAGGTTACCACGCAGTAATAGTTGGTTTTAATACGCAATATTACGACCACATGGCACGCTAAACTTCCCGCCATGGCAGAGCAACACGTCGCAAGCGTAACCACGCGGGAAAGTTCGGCGTATTTGTATTAATACAAAGTCACAATTATGAAACAACCAACTGTAAAGCTTTACTGTTCTTGTTTTAGACAAATAAAGACCATACATACAGGTGGTGACTCAGACATAGTCTCTTTTAACAGCGCCGTACGGCTCATGAATGGGTTACTCAAAACACGTCTGTTCACGGCCGTGACAGCAGAAGGAATGATGATACGGGTCTAGGAGCCTACCCAGTTGGTGCGCATGCTCTAAGGGAGGTAACTCCGTGAGGTAGGGTCCGTATAATAAATAAAAGAGTTTATTTATTGTACAATCTTTTTATTCAAAAAACATTGATACAACTGTCACAGGACATTTTTCAGCCGGAAAATGCATAATATGTACCCCAAGGACGATCTCTCTGAAAAAGAATGAACAGTTTTTGAGGTATGCTCCGGAAACAAACTGATTACGGACGGACGGACAGACGGACGAGGTGTCGACTATATCCCCCAGCATTACATGCCGGGGGGATAACAAAGCAGCAAATATTGACAGAATACTGTGACTGCATGTGCACTAGTTTGGTCAAGTGCTGTGAGTCTTGAATCCACAATATCACAGAAGGTCTTTTTCTAATCATGAGCATAATACTGAGAACTTACTGTTTATTGAACATCTTGTCCAAGGCTTCTATTTCTATGGAAGACTGGTCAACTAGTGACTGAAGATAGCAAAGAAGAAAAACAGTCAATATATTCTTCAGAATACCACACTTTCTGATAAATAACTTATGTACTCTGACAAATAATTATCAGATGCAAAAAGTTGCACACTTTTCTTCAAACAAGAAATTTATTAAATTATCCATGCAAAAGAATCCATTTAGTTATACAAGTTTTAATGTGTAAAGGCATGAAGGTTATTGGGTCCAGTAAACAGTCTTTTATTTAAATAAGGCATACATACGAATCAGAACATTTACTTACCTCGCAAATTGCTGAGAAGTTTTCAATAACACCAACATTAGACATATCATTTTCATATCGGTCTGAACTGTTGCAAGAAAAAATGTTGTGATATATCACTCAGAATTCATTGTTTGAGAATACATTAAGGCATAACTAATGGGGGGATTTTACCACATACATATATTGTAATATTACAGAATAAACTGGAATACTGTTGGTTGTGCAGCAAACTTAGTGTTAGTCCATTGGCTGATGGGGGTCCCCATGCGGCATCCCCCACAGCTCTACTTCTTAGGTATTTTCTAGTAGCCATCGGTCTCTCCTTCAGCAAAATGCATGTTAACATTAAAAAAACTGGTTCCCAAAGTCCCTATCACAAGCATTTTTAATGTTGCTTGGCATGCTTTTTATACACCATTTTTGGAGGTAGAGGAAACAAATGTGGCAATATCTTCTTGCCCTGTAGGTCCCTTCAGAAACCATATGAAAGACACATTTTCAGTAATCTAGAGAAACCCAAATGGCACCTATCCTCTGCTTGCTAGTTCTTTTTCACAAGAGAGTGATAACAATTGACAGAGAGTCGACAGGGTCTCTGATCGCTTAGTTTTTCAGGACAGATTGTCATACAAATTTTCCTGAAGATCTTTCTCAAATTTAGTAAAGATATAAAAAGAAAGTGAGGATTACGTAGTAATCAAAGCTCACTACTCTTGGCAGGTAAATTGGGAAAAATGGATAATACCTTTCAAATCTGGGATTTAGTAACTGCTCTATTTGTTTTACTTTAGAGGTAATTTAACAATGTACTGCCATATTGCCTGTAATGTATATAGCGAAAATCTCAACATTAAAACCACTTCCTCTTCACTGGTCCTGTTATGAGTGAAATGCCAATCACTTGTACAAAGCCATAACATTTGTGATATTGTATTAGCACAAGTGGGAAATGATTAATTACAATTTAATTACTAGTAAGTATTAGCCTGAATAGGTCCAGAAAAAAAAATAATTGTACTTATGATTTTAGTTTCAAAGTCAGTGGATGTGTTTTGTCCTAAGCTTTTTGCGATCAACCAAACACTACTGGCTAGAAAACAGTTATCGCCGCATAATAGTTATCGCCAATACATCAGTATCACACGTGCACAGTTCTGGTATTTTTTCCAAACGGTATTAGACAACAATAAAGGACAGCAAAAGAAAATTCTTCACGGTAAGTAACATAAGAGAAAAATTAAAGATAAACTTATGAACCGTATAAAAGAAATTGAACTTAGTTAGGGGGATGTCCCACGACCTATATAATAACAAGTTCAATTCCACAAGTCATTAATTGTTTCATTCCCTATCAATCTACTGTAAGAAAAACACTCAAATAGTCACACAATCAATTATTTGAGGTTACTGTATGATATAAATATATATATTATTTCACGAATGGCATGAGAAATTCTAAATTGCGATAACTATTACAGTTAGTTGTGAGAAAACATCTATTTATGCTGCCATGATTCCCTCACGATGTATAAAAACATGATCGGTGGCAGTGAATGGGCTGGACACATCGGTGAATAGCTAATTAAGTATCATGATTAATTTTGTTTCATTAATTTAACGAACGACGGAGTAATTTTGTAAATACCGCTAAAATTAGGCGATAACTGTTTGGTAGCCAGTATATATGGTGAGTATGTCACTAATTGTAAGTCACGAAAAGTCACAATTAAGAGTCATCAGAAGATGACATATCCCCCCGGCCCCCACATATTTGAAAGAACAAATCATCTGACAGTTACTGAAAGTCCAGCTTGATGTCTTTTTAGACTAAGTCCCAAATCGTTTCCATGGAAATCATGAAAAATATAAATGCCAAAAATGTGTAAATAGCAAAAGGCACCACTTTTTAAAGATCTGACTCATAAATCTGCCAAGTTCTGTTGAAAGATATTAAACAGTTTTCGAGTTGTGCTCCAGACACGAAGCCCATCCCACCCTTTTGAGACCAAGCCGAATCGTTTCCATGGAAACCGGGAAAACTAAAAAAAGCAAAAATCTGTAAATAGCAAAAGGCACCACTTTGGGATCTGCCTCACATATCTGCCAAGTTTTTCTGAAAGATATTAAGAAGTTTTCCAGTTGTGCTCCGGAAACGAAGCCCATCCCTCACTTTTGAGACTAAGTCTGAATTGTTTCCATGGAAACCGAGAAAAATAACAAGAGTTATCAGAAGATGACATATCCCCCCGGCCCCCACATCTTTGAAAGAACAAATCTTTTCACACTTACTTAAAGTGCAGCTTAATTTTAGACTAAGTGCAAAGCGTTTCCATGGAAATCATGAAAAAGATAAATCACAAAAATCTGCATATAGCAAAAGGCACCACTTCAAGATCTGCCTCACATATCTGCCAAATTTTACTGAAAGATATTAAGAAGTTTTTGAGTTGTGCTCCGGAAACGAAACCTACCCCGCCCTTTTGAGACTAAGTCTGAATATTGTTTCCATGGAAACCGAGAAAATTAAAAAAAACAAAAATCTGCAAACAGCAAAAGGCACCAGTTTGGGATGTGCCTCACATATCTGACAAGTTTTGCTGAAAGATATTAAGAAGTTTTCGCGTTGTGCTCCGGAAACAAAACCTACCTCTCCCTTTTGGGACTAAGTCTGAATCGTTTCCATGGGAAACCGAGAAAATAATAAATCACAAAAATCTGCAAAAAGGGAAAGGCACCACTTAAGGTTCTGTTTGATATATAGACCAAGTTTTGTTGAATAATACTGAATGGTTCTTGAGTTATGCTACGGAAACGAAGCCCACCCTCCCTTTTTGGATTAAGTCTGAATTGTTTCCATGAAAATCGGGAAAAATAAATATGCCAAAAAGCAAAAGGCACCACTTTGGCATCTGCCTCACATAGCTGCCAAGTTTTACTGAAAGATATTTAGAAGTTTTCCAGTTGTGCTCCAGAAACGAAACCCACCCCTTTCGCTTGAGACTAAGTCCGAATCATTTCCATGGAAACCAAGAAAAAAATAAATCACAAAAATCTGTAAATAGCAAAAAGCACAACTTTTGGTTCTGTTTGATATATCTACCAAGTTTTGCAGAAAAATACTGAACAGTTTCTGAGTTAGGCTCCGGAAATGAAGCCCACCCCTCCCTTTAAGACTGAGTCCAAAACGTTTCCATGGAAACTGAGAAAAATAAAAATGCCAAAAATCTGTAAATAGCAAAAGGCACCACCTTAGGTTCTGTTTGATATATCTACAAATTTTTGTTGAAAAATATCGAATGGTCTTGGAGTTATGCTCCGGAAACAAAATGATTACGGACGGACGGACAGACGGACGAGGCGACGACTATATCCCCCCGCATTACATGCCGGGGGGATAAAAATGACAAAAATCTGCAAATAGCAAAAGGCACCAATTTAAGATCTGACTCACATATCTGCCAAGTTTTGCTGAAAGATATTAAGAAGTTTTCGAGTTGTGATCCGGAAATGAAACTAATCCCTCCTTTTTGAGACTAAGTCTGAATCGTTTCCATGGAAACCAAGAAAAATAAAAATGTCAAAAATCTGCAAATAGCAAAAGGCACCACTTTAGCTTATGTTTGATATATCTACCAAATCTTGAAGAAACATATTGAACAGTTTTCGAGTTGTGCTCCGGAAACGAAGGTCACCCTCATTTTGAGACTAAGTTCAAATCGTTTCCATGGAACCCAAGAAATATATAAATGACAAAATCTGTAAATAGCAAAAGGCACCACTTTAGGTTCTGTTTGATATATGTACCAATTTTTGTTGAAAAATATTGAACGTTTTTGTAGTTATGCTCCAGAAACAAAATTATTACGGACGGACAGACGGACGAGCCGTCGACTATATCCCCCCGCATTACATGCCGGGGGGATAAAAAGCATTTAAATTTTCATTATCATAGTGTTGTCCACACCATTACTGATTTCAAGATGAGTCTATAGCACTATGATAAAATATTTGCTTGTGAAAAACTAAATCTAATACTTTCAAATTATTGTAACAAAATTCAACCACAATCTAACACTTCTACTATAAAAGGTATACCTTGCTCTGTCCAATTTCTCAGAGGCCTTGCCTTTACGTCTTGATTTTGAACTCTGCTTCTTCTTCTTTGGTGCATCTGCTACAACAGTCTTCTTTTCCTTTTCTAACTTCTTGTCAATGTGTTTCGGCTTTCGCTGAATCAATAGTACAATCTCATATCAGCTGAACAGTGGCAAACATCGACACAAAGCTATACATGACCACAGCTGTCCAATACACATATGAAAATCGTGAAACTTTTAGCAATATCATAAGCAGAGGTACAGAGAAACTGCGTATCTGCGTCAATTAGGCAAATATTTATGTGAAAACTCAATTCCTATTAAGTCTATTGCGTACAAGTACGCTTGATTTTTTGTAAATACTCAATAAATTTGATCTTGTATGCATACACACAAAAGTGTCAAATCTTAGCTTGCGTACCGGTGGATAGATAAAGTAACAAGGTATACTGAGAGGCACTATTTCAGCACATGAACTTGGTAACTTGCAGTCTTTCTTATCGTTTTTCATATTACAGGCAAGCGTCCTCGTGCTTTAACTATAATAGTTCAGGGCAAAAGTGTGTTTCATTACACTATACATGGTGGTAGGGCGAAGTGTATTTCTTTTCTAAGATGCCAAATTTAATACTTCCTAAAGATAATTACGATTAATTTAAGGCAGAAAACAAACGACGGTGTCGGTGACCTAAATTAAGAATCCTCGCACAGGGCTAACTGGTGCGCTGTTCTATTGATGTGTCTGCCCCCTACGTTAAGACGAACGTTACCAGAAAAAAACAAATGATAACAGTTTGATGACGGTTTACGTTCGGATTATATATATTTTCTCTGAATTATTTTAATTACATCTGTCATTAACGTAAACCATATAGGGCAATATGAATGTTGCATTTCTACTACCAGCGTAAGTTCAGATCAGTACATCCTGAGGAAGTTGAGTAGTCAAGCGACATTCCACAATTGCATTGTGGGAATGTAAACATTACGAACGTTACCGTGTCGCTGAAAACTTGTGAGTCGAAATGACACATTTTAACCGTCATAAAACATAAACGTAATGTTTCCACCAGTGATGTTAGCTGCGTGAAACAACAGCAAACCAAGAAACTGGATGCAACAGTGTAGTTTACTGTAGGAGGCCGTACGAGGCGATGACAACTGACATGCATCGTGACATCGCTTACATTGTGACGTAATGTAAAATGGTTCGATTACGAGGGGGGACACTAGAATGGCGCAGTGACGGGATAACGTCATTCAATTGTTACGTCATCAAAAAACTATACCTTTATTGTCTGATGATGTATTTTTTCCCCGATTGTTCTAAACGCTAGGCATCTTAGAAATATAGATAACAAATCCGTAAACCAACATTTAAACTTTATCATATTTTCACAATTTATGGAAAATGGCAAAATACCCAATTGAGTTTGAGTGAGGTGGGGTACAATTAATTTGGTTACTCAAAGGAAAATTAGGATACCCAGTTGAGATGAACACAAGCGAGTACACAACTCAATGACCCAAAAAGTTATCTGTAGCTCTGTCATAATGTATGTGTTCCATATTTTTTACATAAATCAGTGTAATATTGAGTAGTGTTAATTTCAGCATCTACTGAACATGTGCTGAAATTAGCTTACTTTATTTTTCCTTGACCAAAGAAATGTAACCTTACCCTAATAACTAAGACTGTTAGTGACATGGTAATCTAATAATATAAGAAGTAACAATGTGAAATTACAGATTCAATAATAATTTGTATATTTTCCAGTACAGACTTTAATAAAACTGAAAAATCTATCAAACTGTACTGTCATTAACTCAGACATTAACTTGCTTATCAGTGTGAACAGAAGTGAACAAATTATGATAAACCTACCTCTTTTGTCCTGCTTTCAAGCTGATCTTTTTCCTGTTGGAAACTCTCATTATTCTCTTCCTGAATACTGATTAATTCTGCATTTCCATCTTGTGTCGGTAACAACATAGATAAATCAGGATTAAACAATTTGAATTTAGGATTTTTTGTTTTCTTTCTTGAGGAGTGAGTTGACTCATTCTGAATTGTTTCAGTGTCCTTCAGGATGCCCGCATTAGTTTTAGACCCTCTTCTTTCTGGGCAGATAGCTGTTTCTTCAACATAATTCTGTCGCTTTGTTTTGGAATTATTGTTCTGACTATTTTCTTTTCTGTTGATGTTTTCCTTTTTGGCATTTTCACTTTTTTTGTCCACACTCTTCTGGCTTGTATAGCACTGTGATAAAACTGCAGACTTTCCACCCTTCTTATTTAGCTTCTGATGCCACGTCTTCATGTAATTGGTTGCAATAGTCTCTGAGCTTATATTAATCCCAACTTCTGATCTGTGTTTGAAAAACTTGGAAGTTTTCATACTTGTAACCTTCATACTATTTTGTTTATTAGACAGGTTGATATCCATGGCTTCAGCTGGATTGGTATGAAGCTGCTCTTCACATTCCATATCAAAATCATAGGGATCACTTGCAGGGCTGGAATTATTGTAAAGTTCAGGGAAATATAAGCCAGACTGAGACAGTAATCTGTGTGAATTCTTTGGTTTAACATACAATGACATCTTTGTTGTTGCTGAAGATTCTTTAGGCCAATCTTTGGAAGTATCATCTGCCACGCTGAATGGGCTTTCAAAGAGATTTCCTACATTTTCAGAACTACTGAATTCTTCATTATACACATCACTCTGTTTAGCCTTAGCTTTTCGACTTGGCAATACTCTTCTACAGTGTTTTTCTAATAGCTGTGGCTCCTTAGCATGCTCCTTTTCTATTTCATGGCACCCATTAGTCTTTACCTTCTGCTTTGACTTGGCTGTTTTTCCAAGAGCCTTCTTGTGTTCAGCTTCTCTTGTCACTTCTGTATTTGTAGTGAAACCAAATAGCTCTACTTCTTTAGCCAAAGCATTTTTGTCTTTACATTTGCTCTTCTTCTTTGTTGCTGAATCCTTCCCAGTAGTGCTTTTCTTCACTACGTTCTTGTCTTTCATGTCTTTAAAAGAAGGCAAGGTGTTCATTCTTGTGACTTCCACATGAGCCTCTGTGAGTCGTGATGTAACATCAGTAGGAACACCTTGCAATGATGATTCACTGCTAACACTCTCTCCAATTCTGTTCAAACTTTGAACTTTACCTTTGGGAGGGAGTGGTTTCTTCTGTTTTTCTGAGAATTTCTTCTTCTGTTTTCCAGACATCACCTTTGTAGTAAGTGTGTTCACATCCATGCTTGACTTGGTATTAACTGTGGAGCTGTATAAACAATCACTGTTTTTACTTGTATCTTGAACATCACTTGAACCTTCTATCCCTGTCTCAGTTGACACATATTGAGATTCCTGAATTACATTTACATCAAATGATGATGGAAGGTCTGAAGATTGTGTCATCGAGTTTTCATCAGCTTGATCCATTTGTTGGTAATTTTGTGAGATATTTTGGTCTGTCTTATTCCCTTGTTTCTTCTTTTTCAAAAACTTTTTTGTTCCTTGTGATACTTGTTTGTCTACATGTTTGAAGTCATCATCAATGTCAACTGAAAACACACAATATATTCTTTCATAATCACATTTAATATTGAATACATCATTCTACTGAACTGTTTCTGTATAGATTGAGTAATATAACGGTAACTGTATGGGTAGTTGAATACAAATTTAACAACCCTATCTTTGTATTAGATATTTATACTAACTGATAAAGTATAGGGGAATGAAAGAATTGATGAACTTACCTGTAAAATCAAAACTGGAATCTTTCTCTTTCTGAAATGAAGTTATAGAAAATTGATACAATACTAATAATGGGAGAAGCAGTCTGTAACTCGGTGATTACAACACAGAAACATGAATGCATTTGAAGATGGCAGAAATCATGTTTGTAGTAAAACAAGTTTTTTTCAATATGGCTGCCATAAATCTGAATAAATCTTTGCCATTGAGATGCTGATGACTACAACACTTTCGGTTCCCTTTAAATGAACAGAGCAGCAAAAAGTAATTGTCCCCCAACCAACAATATAATGAATGGAAATACTGTGCTCCTTACGATAAAGGACCACTCCAATAAACATTCGATAGAAATCCTACCTTGTTTTTATTCTTAGATGAGACATCAGCCCTATCACTTTGCAATGCCTCTCCTTCAGCCAGATCGATCCCACTGTCACCTAAGCCTGGATACCTTTAAACAAAATATTTATTACTCAAACTAAGACAATTCACTGAATAATCACATGACAATATTGAAATCAATGATACAATACAAAAGACTCTTTACACTATCAATTAATACACATGATTTTTCAAATTGTTTTCTGTCTGCAGTCAGTTGTTTACAAAAGGCAGACCTTTCAGCTATATTATATACATTGTGTACATGAATTCTGTTATTCAATCTGTACCTGTACTTGTGTTGTCTTTAACATATTTTGTATCAAATTCATCCCCTTTTACCTCAAAATAGTATGTCATGAATATTTAGTTTATCCAGATAGTATATAAATTGAGATTAGGATAAGTTCCATGACATGTACAGGAACATGCATTTATGTGATGCTCGCCTTTGATCGTAGCACATACATATCTGAAATCAATGTATCATAACTAACTGTATCAATCCAATTAGACTACTAATACTTGATCCAATAATAAATGTATACTTATTGTACCTCTGGGACTTTGGAAGTACAACATTTGTTGTTATGTGTTGGTGATCTGCCGTAGGCAATGAATCTGGAATAATATCATCTTCACATCTACCTGGAAAAAAAGAGAGATAAACATGTATGCATGCTTCGTAAAGTATTTCTGCAGCAATCAGGGATGTATGGCTCAACTTGTTTGGATGCATATCCTTTAAAAAAAAAGAGACACCGAGATAGAAAAGACAAAAGAAATTTGACTTACGATTCTCAATAAATAAAAAAACATATCAGTTAATATGCCTGATATTGCTCTTAAATAAACATTAACCCATCTTTCGACTTTGCAAAAGCACATATGTTGTATCCTGGGCTCAAACACTAATTTCATCTGCTGATCAGTACCCAAAAGAAATTCTAATGCTAATTACAAGTCCATTGCATCACCATAAAAAATCTCAACCAATCCACAAAACTCTCAAACTGAAACAGTTTATTGTAGTAAAATAGCTTGTACAATGAAGAGAAAATGTACAAATGGTCTGGACACACTGTAGCAAACGTACAGTAAGATGAAGGACACAGAAAGTGTGTTTCACGTAAGATTAATAATTTAAAGATTATTTTTGTTATAATTATTTAGAAATATTCGTTTACATCAAAATCTATGAAACATGTAAATCACAGAGCAAATATGAATCAGTTTTATTGGTGACAATACCCATTCGATTTAATTTTCACAATAAAACAATCATATCGCTTGTTGAACCTAAGTGAATACAACCTAATTTGTAAAAGTCATTTTTGCATACTATATTATAGGAACATGAGTACATAAATTTCCTGATATCCATATTAATGATATCATTTTATCATTTCATTCAAAACAGAAATATGAAAATAGTAACAACAATCACCTGATGCCATATCCCGTGTACATGTATCCTGACCATCTTGTTTTCCCCTTTGTTTGATTTTCTGATCCTTCTGCAACTTTTTTTGAGCTACCTTCTCTAATTGTGACAACTGGTGTTTTCACCTTTGGCCGAACATTTTTGACAGTGGGTGTTTTTGGTGCAGCAAAAGTACTTTCTGAAATAAGATGAAGTTATTAAAATTAACCACAAATGCATTCCTGCATTACAATAAAACCTATATTTTAGACCAACATGTCTACATAACATTCAAGACAAATGTTGGGCACAACAGTCAACCAAGAACTGAACACTACAGACTTACGTTCCTTAGTCGTGCCAAGACCCCTGGTTTCAAGTTCATACCTGTGTTAGTTTGTTCTTCTTATTGTTTATGCCACAACTGCCAATATACCAGCCATATCATGAAAGCATGTAACTGAAGCTGGGGGCACATAAACCAGTGATCAACATTATGAGCAATATCCAAGACAGTTAACTAAATCACATAGCTAGATCACTGGATTCTGGATCCATATATTATAGTCTACTCATAACAAGCATGGGTCACTTGGGGCCATACTACCTCAAAATCCCATCAAGGCACCCAGGTTTTACCAAAGCTGTAAACCTGCACATCCTTGGGTTTCTTCCCACATTAAGCTGACACACCTTGACATGGCCGAAGTACTGTGTTAAACCAGGCTCACTCACTTATTCCATACTTAGTTGATGACATCAGACAAACTGCTACAAACAATTAATGACAATGATTTGATAACGTTAAATCTAAGTATATGTAAATAATCATATGTTTCTATATATGTGAAAATGAGTCAACAAGACTGCAAACTAACTCTTGTAATGTGACTCAGATGGTTGGCATGTTTGGGCTGTTTTTCTTTCATTGTTTGTTCTTGTATGCTGTATCGGCTGTATGTTTTGTGTAGATGATACATATTCTTGATCTTGTTCTTGTGAGCACAGTGATCTGGCTGGTGTTGACATAGGTATACATGGCACAGATATCTTTGTGCGCAGTGGAGTGAGCTTTATAGGACTTGAATGTGAGTTGTCTTGTAACGCTGTTACAGCGCCTTCATGAGTGGACCTTCTGCATAATGGAGATTCAGTCTGAAATTTCCATGAAACATAAATTAATTCACTCATAGAAAGACTGGGTTACTTCTCTTAAAACATGCTGTCTATGAAGATTAGGATTGTATTGTTGGCAGACACACCTAAGAAAGAAGTTTGCTGAAGACGTGGACCCAATAAACAAGAGACAGAATGCTTCTGTCACTCATCATTAGTCACTTCTCATTAGTAATCAGAATCAAGTGCTCATAGTTCAAAACTTTCAAAAAGAATGGGAACAAAATATGTTCAGAACAACATAATACTTTGTATATTGCCAGTGAATATATGCATAAAAAACAGTCGTATTCACCAGTGAGTTTAAACAAATTAAGAGGACATGCACTTTCCTGAATTGATGCTCACCAAACAACGAAAACCAGTTGTGACTAGGGGTGAAACCATACAGCAAGGTCATGATAAGATACTTATCCTGATGCATACTTTGCATAGCTTACAAAATGATGAGTATCATGATAAGCACTTCAACCCAAAATACCTCCTGATTATCAATATTCAGAGCAGGTTCCAAAGGTAAAGCCAGCTGTAGACATGTGTTTGTAGTGTCTGTTCTTAGTACTAAACTTGATATGCAAATTACAATCCATTTTGTGATACTGGATTGACAAAACCCTGGCAGAGAGGATTGTCATTAATGTTGTCTTGTATCGATACAAAAAAATCGTATCAAGTATCATATTGTTGCAGAAAACCTTGTGATGCACCAGTGTTTGTTTCATCCCTACTTGAAACACCATTTGATTATAGATTTGTAAACTATTACTAATGAAGGATAAGAGTATGTGGATGAACAACTTCTGTTTTACACCTATTCTTATCCTTCCATAGTGCTCCAACTTCTAAATGAATCTCAAAGAAACTATTCTTAATATTTTCTTACCTCTTCATAGCGAACATTCCGTACATTCAGATGCAGTGGCAAAATGGCAGAGGATGCTTTCCTCTGAAAGGTAAGAGCATTTTATATTTTGGTGTTTGGCAAGTAAGTCCAACTGATTCATGTCCAATACTGAATACTTAAAGCAAACAGGCAGTTTTCTGTCATAGTTTCATAAACCTTTTTATTACATATCTGTAGTAGGTGCCAAAATCTTTGAGTTTAGTACCAGGACAAACATGTCTCCTAACAACCTTTTCAGTAGATATATTAGTGTTAATGTATTAAATTTCATTAGTAAAGCTCACAAGATATCAAGAAGATATTTTACTTGTCATGGGCTATGGTCTAGTGACTAAAAGCTTAGTTGAAGTCACAGACACTCCAATTCCATGCTGCTAAATTTCCATTGAAACTGAATGCAATGCCATGTGGTTCTGAATTTGAAAAATTAATGGGTACTGAATCAAAGTTGGAAACCCCTAATTTGGAAGTACAAATTTATCTCCATTCTCTACCATGAATCAATGACCAAACAAGCGTGAACTCTTTGGTTATACCACAAATAATTCACCTTGTGGTGTCAGTGGAGCCTAATATTTACAGCAGGTTGAAAGTTTGCATTTAGAGACCAGTGAAGATTGTTTTTTATATACATTAAATTTGGCTTTGCTTACTCAAACCATAATTTTACCATGATACTCGAACCACTTCATTGATATACAATAAATGATTGTACAAATGATGATACAAGACTCTCAAAAAATTCTAATGAAATATTAATGTCATACTTGCTAATGAAGGTACCCCCAACACATTATGCAGCATAGTCTAAAAAGGAGGATCAACATTCAAAAATGCCATACAGTCATGGCCTATCTTTTCACAGAGCAAAATTTGAAAACATCATGGTATCAGGAATGCATGTTATCCACAGACCTAATACATACATGTCATAGCAATAGCTGGAACTTACATTTGTGCACTTTTCACTTCCAAACACAGACATCAGAGCTTTTTTTGGGTTGTATTTGGTTTGCACAAATAGCTCGAAGTGATTTCCACTACACTGCATCATATTGGGGTATAGACAGTTGATGTCCTTTTTCAGTTCAATAGAAGATATTCCAATGGTGTCATGTTCTGCAAGTAAGTAACGGCTTTTGTACAACTGTGATGCATCTATTACATATGGATGCCATGCCATGCTAAACAAGAAAACAAAGTCATCAGTATCCAAAAGATGGCATCCTCATAGCCACTGCCTAAGTCACGTTTCCATGGAAACCGCAAAAAATAAAATTCATAGCTGGGTCTTACCCCCAAAAGATACATCTAGGGATCATGGTTGACATGTGTACCAAGTTTGGTTAAGCTATCACAAATAGTTTAGGAGATATGCTTTGGACAAAGTGTGACGGATGCACGGATGGACGGAACACGTTTCTATATCCCCCGCAACTTCGTTTTTGCGGGGGATAACAAAATAGCTGCCAACTGTGTGTTTAACAAAAATGATTGTGTACAGTACTGAATCTATCACTGATCATAAACACAACCATGGAATCATCATGAAATAATCTTTAAATCAGATACATGTTTTAACTTGCTTTGGAAAGAAAACCACATATCCAAAAGGCAATATGTTTAATCAAGTAAATCTCATTAAGTGAGGACAGTTCAAAATTACTTTAGAGTGAGTGAGTGAGTTTAGTTTTATGCCGCACCAGAGCCTGACCACCTGATCCTGTTAGTCGTTTCTTACAAGCATGGGTTATGAAGATTCATTCTAACCCGGACCTTCACGGGTCTACATTAGACATCATTGTTTACAACCCTATGCAATGGAATATAAATATCTGGTTTATACTTCAATGATAAACTTTGTATAATTTAAACTTTGAACACAATAAATACAGAACTATGTCCAGTAGAAAAGCATATATAGCACTGCACCTGTGTAGCTGTAACATTTCACATCGCCCAACGATACACTCACTGTCTCCCACAAATCTAGTTCCCCTTGACTCTGAAATGATAGAAGACTACTATGTACTTGCAAAACAGGAAAAATTGTGTGCTGTTGGAAGCGCTGTGCATACTACCCATTTCACAGTATATTCTAAACATTAATATGTTCTGAAGCTTTACAGTTGACAAGGTAGACTTATGTGTAAATGTATTACAACACTATTACTAAATTACTTGATGTGTTTACAACAAAAATCAACATGTCTACAAAATGCAATGCAAATTACCGGTAATTGTGTTTATTTATCACTTGTATGTTCACAAACACTCACAAAATACACTTCTCCTTTTATTGAAGTAGTGATGTGTACCCAATGGGTCATAAAGAGTCAAAATTACTGTTACTACTGGTCCTCAGTCTGTACCATACAAGTAAGGAAATGTTTGGAAATTTTGCATCTTTACACTTCTCTTCAGTGAAGTGATCTTAGTGCTGTGTTAAAAGTGCTAGAGCTACAAAATATGAAAGGCGTTTCATGAGACCTTACACAGGAGCTAGATAAATGAAACAATTGTGATCAAACTTACCATCTGACTGTTAACCTCCATGACATCTTGTTCACAGAATAAAGTGATGCGCCGTGTGCCATAGTTGAAGTCAACCCAGAATTCATTATAATCATCATCATTAGGTTTATTAAGCTGAAAGTATAACAAAGTGTCTACTGTAATAAAAGCAGATTTAATACATCTTCTATCTTCATCCGATTTTTCTTGATATTTCTGTCAGAGGAAAACAAATATGTTTATTTTAGGGAGGACCACATCTGTCCCCAGTGGTTGTAAATTCTATCACATATAATTGTTGAAGGTATTTAGCAGGTCTATTGGCTCTCGATTTGAGTTCCAATGCAACATATCACCGCCTCCGTGGTGTACTGGTTAGAGCCTCCATCCGGAAAGCAGAAGGTTGTGGGTTCGATCCCCAGCCACATCATACCAAAAGACATTAAAATATGGTTCTTGTTGGTCCCTGCCTGGCGCCCGGCATTTATGGGTACAACAAGGACTGACCGGTTCAGAGTCAGTATAATGTGTCTGAGTGGGGTATTCATGCTTAACTGCA